ATAGGCTTAAATACAGTCTAGCCTACATACCGGACTTACCAAGCTTCTCTGATGCTCGAGATATACCTAACTAAAGGTATAGAGCCCAAGCCTAAACTATGGTTTCCCTCCCTAAAAAACCCAACCAAGAGGTGTCAATGTCCCACATTTCCCCTTTACAAACCTGGCCAAGTAAGTATTGTGAAACAGGAGTCCAAAAAGGCCAACCACTATGCTCACAATGGAGGCAAACCATGTGGTTATTGAATCATATATGTATCAACATCATCATCTCCTCATCAACCCATCCCCTAATGCATCCCGCACATATACAACAATTACATCATCTACAAGCAAGCTTGAAAAGAAATAGAAATATCTCATTCAATCAAATCAATGTACAAACATGCTTGAAAGAAATAAACCACTTTTAAATAATACATACTATTTCTATTAAATAAAATTTATTAATCTGCATTTACAAGCATGCTTGAAAAGAAACACTAACAATAATATATAGCCAAGCGATAAACATGCTTGATAAGATTTAAGTAACATATAAATTTTCTATAATTAAATCTATGATTATATGCATTCGTTATCAAACACAAAACTTGCACACATATGAAAAAACTCTGAGTTACTTGTTTTCCTTGAGTTAACAAGCAGCCACATAGCAAAACTAACCAAGAAGAGCTCTCAGAGTCTACAAAAATCACATACATATAAAAATATTAATAAAAAGTTTAAAGTGTCTAAGAATTACCCTATAACTATCCTAAAGTTACTTTAAAATTACTATAGAACCTTAGTGCTACCCTTGAGGGCCCAAAATTTTCTTTTAAAATTTATATCACTTTATAATTTAAGTAATTATTTAGAGTAGTCAAGTTTCATGCCAAAACCCATTTATGCATGTTCCTCAATTTATAAGTTTCCATTTTTAATCTAAATTTCTATTTTATAACTACCTACACACACATATAATATTATATTGCATATATGTATATATTAAAAAAAGAATGTAATAATGATATACCTACAAGAAGGCTACTAGGAGGACTATTATATTATTATTGTATATATATAAGGAGATGGAAGACATGAGGTTTCCATATGTGGTTATCAAGGAAAAAAGCAATTAAAACACTATTATTATTATTATTATTATTATTATTATTATTATTATTATTATTATTATTATTATTTTCTTAAGCATCACACTATGAGAGCAACAGGTTTGGTGAAGACTCACGATGAGGAATAAGAAAAGACAAAAACTTTTCAAGGAAAAGAACAAACGTTTGACAGCTTTGGTGGTATTCATACAACATGTAATGATATATATATATATATATATATCAGTAACGTGTTGGGAAAAGAAAACGATGAAAGGGAAGAAAGAGAAACTAGAAAGAGTTACCTTTGTGGAGAGAACTCAGCGGCCGTATGAGAGAAATGAAGAAAACTAAATGAATATAAAGATAGGGTTTCACTAGGTATATTTTAAACTCATAGATTTATAAACTTAAACTAATTTTCTTTTCATTAACTAGTATTATCTTTATAATATCTTTAAAGATAATTTTAGAATGATTTGATATCTTTTAAAACTTAATAAGATTATCTAACTTTTAACATTATATATATATATATATATATAAACACACAAAAAAATTCTAGTAAATTACATTGAACTCTAACTAAACTGATTTATGAAAATCTATATTTTCACAATCATTGCCTCAACTATTCACAATCATTGAACTTCACTATTTTAAACGTCATTGAACTTCTCATAATCACATATACTCGTAGAACTTCATTAATAAGAATTCATTGTACTTCACTAATCATAAATCATTGAACTCCTAATAAAACATAATACGAAAATTCATTAATAATTTTTTCGGAGAATTTCACATAACAAGCCATAGGACTCACAAAATCAACCTAGTGAATTCTCAAGTAATTCATGCCAGACTTGTATTTCATTTCATTTTACACATATCAATGGTCAATTAATTAATAAACTAATTAACACACAAATGTGATCATGTGCCATGGTGCATGACACATAATCTCCCCCCTCAGAATTTCTTTTTTTTTTATTCTTAGGTGACCTTATTCTCCTTCAAACCTGTGTTTAGGGTTGAAATTGAAACCAAACATGCCCATTAGACCTCTTTAGCCACATACCTTACTAATATACTTAATTAATCTAATTGAACTTAATTAATTTGGTTTAAAAATTGAGGATGTTACACCTTAGATCCCAACACATGTAAGTAAACATTTGACACCAAGGGAGTGGTTTCACCTGTGAATTGCTTGCATCAGTTTTTAGATTCCATTCAAGCCATTCTCACCTGTTGCCTATCTTGAAATCATCCCATTTATCAACCTTAATCAACATTCTCCACTTGATTTCTGCCTTCTTGCAATCTCTAAAATGGTGAAGTATACTATCGTCTTCTGAGCATCCTCTTGGGCAACAAGTCCAAGCCCTATCTGTATCTACGAGATTTTGTGTACACTACTTCCTTAGCAATCAACCAAAGTAAGGTTTTGAGTTTTTCTAGTACATTAAGTCTTTATATTAATTGCCATTTGAAATTTGGCCCCATTCTTGTACTTGTAAACAAGGAAAGATAGGCAAATTTGATACTAAAATTCCCATACCGTGAGTGTTTCCATATAAAAGTATACAATTCAACACCATGGACACCAACTTAGATGTTACCTTGAATGTCATATATAATTCAACACCACACAGGGTGTGACTTGCACTCACAATTAGTCACTAAACACTTCGAAAGTATGCACGGGATGGAGTGGAGAGATACATATTCTGCGGTTACTTTATTTTGAAAGTGTAATGAGGTGATATGGTTACTTACAATTATTCTGTAAGTGTACATATGCAATGGTGGAGCCAAGGGGTGTAGGATAATTTAATAAAAAATTAATATTTTTTTAAAAATAATAATTATAGTATAAGACTAAAATTATAGTAACATAAATAACTTGATTATCATTTTTTTTGAACAAGTTGATATGATCCTTTATATAAACATGTTCTTTATATCATATGTAAATTGTTAAGCTATTTTATATTTAATAAATTCTTGAACTCAAATATTTGTCATATAGTTTAAAGAATGCAAAATATCAAAATTACAGGGTGCATAATTGCAAGATTTGCATCTCATAATTGTAATATTTATCAAGTGAGAGGGTGCGTTTGCCTTCTTGCTATCATGTAGCTTCGCCGATGTATATATGGAATATCATGATGATTGCAATTAGCTTTATTTTAATTACTTATTTTTCAACATGGAATATTTAATTAAAAATGTTGGTCCTTTTCTTTGGCTGTTATATGCCTGACTTATAAAATTGTAAAATTCTTTGCATTATACGCCCTTTAGAATCATATGTCACGTTTGTCGCCCTCGCTTTTTATATATTATAAATGTAAATTATGAAGGGGTTCTATTTATACACGCAACATGCATTGTTCACTGCAAAAATGCAAGGGGTGGTCCCTGCTGACTCCCTGTTTTTGGATATTAGCAAGGCTGGTTCATATTTCAATGCACAGCACATTCACATATAATGCAATTGGTAGGCCCTGTTTATATTTTTATTAAATAACCTTGTCAATATACAGTATAGGTTAATCGATAATTTGGCCATTGAATTATATAGAAATATCTAGAACCTTAGTTGAACTTATTTTTTTACAATATTTCTTTAAACTTTTAAAAAATAATGTAATATAACTCTCATTGGTTAAAAAAAACAAAAAATGATAGAGAATGATTTAAAATTACAAGCAAAAATTCAAAAAATTATAAATAGACATTTTTTTCTCTGTAATTTTTTGAAATCATTTTTTATCATTCCTGAGTAAACTAATAATTAAAATTAATTTTTATAATAAATAGAAGCTACATTATATCATTTTTAAAGGAAAAGATGGTATAAAACCCATGAAGATAAGTGAAAAGAAAGCCTCACTATAACAAACAAGGGTGAGCAAAATTAAAATAAAATTAAAAATGAAATCAAATTGAATTTAATTTGATCTATTTTATTATATGCTTTGATTTGTTTTTTCAATAAAAATTTTGATTGATTGGTTTGATTCGATCTGAGAATTCTAAAACCAAATAAATTGAACCGAATGAATTATATATATATATATATATATATTTTTTATATTTGTAAAGGTGAATAAATTTTATCTAAATAAGTAAGAAATGTCTTTCTATCATTTGTCGTAGTAGTATTATTATTATTTATTTAATATGATGTTCTGTTTTTTACTTTTATAATTTAGTTTTTAATTTAGAATAAGATTATTTTTTTTTGTTCGGCTTTCAACATTAAGACAAAAAATAGATAAAAAACATATAAATAATTAGACTTCATAAATTTAAATCAAAGCTCATAAATTAAATAAATTAATCGAATTAAGTTATTATAATTTAATTTAATCAAGTATTTCCATTCAATTCAACTGCATCCAAAATTTTTGTGCAATTTAGTCAATCAATTTTGAAAAAATTGAAGTCGAATCGACTGAACCGATGCTGACCCTAATAACGAGTGCCACTTAATAAACTTCAGACGAGTGCAGATTCCACCGGACACTGCGCCATTTTTTTCTGTTAAAGAATTAATAAACTGATCAGGAAATCGAATAGCTTTGCTAAAACCGTTTTTAACTTTAAAATCGCATGTATATTTTGGATCACAAAACTCTGATAAAGGATATGATTTAACCTTTTAATATGAAAATAACTGTCCCGCACTTTATACTTCGGCTATTTTGGATTTGAGTAGATAAAATTCAACAAGTCAAATCAAAAAAGGATCTGGATTCCCACACCCATTTCCGGTATCCTACAATTTATAATAAATTTTCATCTTTATTGATGCACACATGGCATATGGGCAGACACGTTCAAACAGCAAATCAATCAAGCAACTTTTTAAAATTAATATTGCATCAGATTATGCTCAATTAAAAAAGTATGCCTACTATAGACGAACTACTGCATTTCATTCCTGACCAAGCCACAAGAAATCCAGACCTGCCATTGTCAAAATCTTAAGACGCCATGGAAGAACCTCGCATGCACATAGCAATGTATGTCTGGCTAGCTATGGGCCACATAACCCCATGTGTTCAACTCGCAAACAAGTTAGCCAAAAGAGGACACAGAATCTCCATCTTCATCCCCACAAGAACACAATCCAAATTACAGCATCTGAATCTTCACCCTCACCTCATCACCTTTGTCCCCATCACTGTTCCTCACGTTGAAGGCCTTCCTCTCGGTGCAGAAACAACCTCGGACGTGGATCGATCTCACCACCCCATTCTCATGACTGCCATGGATCATACAGAGAAACAAGTCGAGCATCTCTTGGTTCAGCTAAAGCCCAACATTGTTATCTTCGACTTTACACACTGGCTGCCAGATCTGGCTCGACGATTGGGAATCAAGTCGGTTCAATACTCTGTTACTGGTTTATTACCGTCAACTTTTTCAGCATACAGAGAAATGCAAGGCCAGGCAAGGAATAATCCATCTGGGTTTCCTGATTTGTCGTCTATTATAAGGCTTCACAAGCATGAGGAAAAATCCTTTCAGAGTGTCAAGGAATTAGAGTTTGGAAGTGGTGTTCTATTCCTTGATCGACTTCAGATGGGCTCACGCTCATCAGACGTAATTGCGTTCAAAAATTGTAGAGAAATAGAGGGTCCTTTTGTGGACTTCAGAGAAAAAGCTGGGGAGAAACCTGTTTTGCTGTCAGGACCTGTTATACCAGAGCCACAAACTTCTCCTTTGGACCCAGAATGGGATCACTGGCTGGGAGGATTCAAGCGTGGTTCTGTTGTTTACTGTGCTTTTGGAAGTGAATTCAATTTAGAGCCTGGTCAATTCCAAGAATTGGTGCTGGGTCTTGAGCTATCAGGTATTCTTCATTTTTATAAAAAGTCTCTGTTTTGGACGACGACATGGGATCAATTATCAATTATCAATTAGAATTATGTTTATGTACACATATTTTTCGTATTCAATTTTTTATACTATATTTTTAAAGAATGACGATTAAGGATATCCTCTAAAAAATTTAATTATAGTCAAGGATCTTGATTTTTTTTAAGAAAAGGACATCATGTTTTGCTAGAACTAAATTTTTTTTTTTGAATTAATTTTTCAGTGTTCATCTTTCATATTTTTAATATTTATCTTTAGCATTTTTTGTATTCAATTTTTCAGTTTTTTCAGTAGTCATCTTAGATTTTTCCAATATCCATCTTCTATCTTCTAATTAAGTTATGAAAAGATAGTTAAAGATAACTAAGTGTTAGAAACATTTATAATAACTATTAAAAAAATTGATACTGAAAATGTTAAAGATAAATACTGAAAATCTAAAAGTTGAGTGCTAAAAAATTCACTGAAAAAAATTAATCTTAACTAAAGATCATTGTCATTATTTAAAATTTTAAAATTACAAGATCTTTTAACTGTAGTTACTATTCTTAATGATATCTTAGATGTCATTTTCTCTCTTTTTTTCCCCTATATATCAGATGTCATTTTCACTTGAAATTATATTAAAATAAAGTACCGGTATAAAATAATTGAAAGCACAAGATTAAATTACTTAATCACCCTTCTGCAATTAGTCACAATTTGCTGTGCTTAGGCATCGTTGTTGTTAATATTTTTATTATCATTTTCTAATCATGAATTGTAACTAATTAGATGCTATCTTGTCATACCAATATAATGAAACCCCAACTTTAAATCTGGTATATATATAGGGAAGCCATTTTTGGTAGCAGCGAAAGCTCCAAAAGGATACGAGTCAGTAGAAGCGGCTCTTCCAGAGGGATTTGAAGAAAGGGTCAGAGGAAGAGGAATAGTGCATGGAGGCTGGGTTCAGCAGCAGCTAATATTGGAACACCCATCAGTGGGTTGCTTCATTACTCACTGTGGTGCTGGTTCTATGTTAGAAGCACTGCTCAGCCAATGTCAGCTTGTGTTACTCCCCACCGCTCTTATTGATCAGGTCTTCAATGCAAGAATGATCAGCCAAAGCTTCAGAGCCGGTGTTGAAGTGAAGAAAGGAGAAGAAGATGGGCTCTTCACAAAAGAGAGTGTCTGTGAAGCAGTGAAGGCTGTGATGAATGAAGAGAGTGAGATTGGTAAAGAGGTCAGAGCAAATCATGCTAGACTCAGAAACATCTTGCTCACCCCCAACTTTGAGTCCAGTTATATTGATAATTTTTGTCACCAGCTTCAAGATTTGCTCAAATCATCATGATTCATGTTCATCATCAAGTGGGGAAGCAGTATTAGTCTGGCTAAATTAATGCCAAGCGTGTGTGATGGTAGTTTACATATGCACCCAAGGAATGCACAATTATAATAAAGTGCTTGATTTAGACAATTTCGATCCCTCCTGTATAAATAAAATTATGTTTACCTTCGATCCCTCCTATAAATAAAATTCTGTTAATGAGAACCTCTTGGTTAAAAGATTCTAGATAGTGGATAAGATTGGAAGGACAGAAGTATGATATATTAATTAATGCAATTGGGAGAAAAATATTAATATAAAGACGGCACCACATCAACACACGGGATGGGTTTTCCTGCTCATCCCAGCATGTGCTCATTTTTGCAATTAGATTTGGGCCACCCAGAATTATTAAAATTATTTTACAATTAAATTTTTTATTTTAATAAATACAATAAAAAAATACTTTAAATTTAAAGTATTTTTTATTATATTTATTAAAATAAATTTTTTATTTTTAATTTGGTCTATATTTAAGTTAAAGGGTTTAATTTAATATTAAAATTTTTATAATTAATGTATACTGATTAGAGGTGTTCACGGGATAGAATCGAGACACTCCTGTCCCGTGTCCCATCTTAAAAAAAAAGATTAAAATTAAATTTTTATCTTATATCTCGTCCTGTTAGGAATTGGAAAGGGATTGGGACAATATTAGGACGTCCCGTCATCCTTAATAAATCAAACAATATCAAAAAAAGATCTGAATAATAATATTTATTAAAATTTTAAATTATATAATTTATTAAGTTTATAATTAAAACAATACTAATACACAAATCACAACAATTTAAAATTAATTATTGAATTACATTGATAATAATTATATATTATGATAGCAATTATAAATGATCTCTAGGCTATAAAAGCAGCAATAACAAGCAAACAAACACAATATCAAATCATGGTTCTTCTTCTTTAGTTGAAATGTGCTAAGTTAATTACTCTTTCAAAAATAAGGCAATAAATATGATATAAATAAAAGTTATTAAATATATAAATATAAGAATAAATGATGTTAATATATTATAAAGAAAGATATCATCATATTTACTTTATGTTATTAAAATTATCAATACACAAAACTTTAGTTTTATATAATAATTACAAGTATTAAAATTATAATTGATATAATTAATATAAGTATAATTATATTAATATAATTAGCATATTTAATTTATATTTTTAAAATAAAAAATAATATATATACTCCTTCCATTTAAAAATATAAGGTATTTTTAATCAAATTTTACCCCAATAAAGTAGTTACCTACTTTCAAATTAATTATTAATAAAGATATTTTTTTAAAAAAAGACAGTGATTACACCTCAAAAAATTAAAAATTTCTTACATTTTTTTAACATCTAACTCCTCAAAAAATGCTTTATATTTTTGAATGGAGGGAGTATATAATATTCATAATAAGACAGGATGTCTTGATGATAATCTCATGTCTCATCTCGAACCTCTTTCCTATTTCGTCTTGTAAAGTCTTATCCTAATTGTTTTCAAGCCGGGACTAGACTCGATTAAATATGATCAAGACAATATCAACCCAATCAAGATGGGTCCAAGTTAAACACCCCTAATATTGATTGTTCAGATGTACTTTTTAAATAAAGATTTGAACTGTATAGAGTACATCTGGATAATCAATATATATTAATTATAAAAATTTTAATATTAAAGTAAACCTCCTAAATTAAATCTAAACTAGATTAAAAACAAAAATTTATTAAAATTATTTTATAATTTTTGCAATTTTTTATTTTAATAAATATCATACAAAAATATAAAATAATATTTTAAATTTAGACTATTTAAATTAAATTTTAAATGATCCCATGTGCTCATCCTTAAGATGAATAGGTAAACCAGCTCCATCAACACATCAAGTATTATATTGTAAGGCGAGTGTGTTGCGCGCTCGAAAGGAGGGTTTTAAGATGCACATGATAAAAGCTACTCCCTCTATATTAACATATAAAATATTGATAATTAATTCATGATTCTTAAAAATATTACCAAAAAATTTAATTTCTTAAAAAAATTTACAAATTTTAAATTTTATCCTCATTAAATACCTTGTATAAGTGCTTTAATATGATAATAATTAAAATTTCAATACATCATTTTTTTCTTAAAAATAATAATAAATTAAGTAGGGTATAATTGAAAACATAATTTTAAAAATTACTTAATGCTCTGTATTTTAGACCAAACAAAACTTTTAAAAAATACCTTATATTATGATTCAAAGGAAGTATTTGATTCAATTGAGTAGTTATAAAAGATTGTATCATATAATATTTAGAAAAAATCAAATCTTAATTTTTTAAGGGAACAATGTGAATAAGGAGTACTTTAATCATGATAATTATTTTGAATTTTTGTAAGAAAATGTTTCTTAATAATTCTTAAGTATTAATAAAATTAATTGAGATGTTCGTTGAAGAAATAGGTTGAGATCACATATCGAATCCAAACCAATCTTAGAGTGAGTCGAAAAGTCAAACATGTGTTGTGTATTCTTGTTTTATTTTATTTATCAATTATTTTGAATATATATTTTACAAAATTAAAAAAATTCAAATTCTCTTTAAAAATTTATTAAATGTTTACTTTGATTTTATTTAAACTTAATACTTTAATAACGTAATTTTTTATTAAAATTTTATGTGGGATGAAAAGAAAATTACTTGCGCGCAAGTAATATATATATATATATATATATATATATATATATTCACGATTCACAATATATATTTACCAACAGATTAAAACTCTCCATTCTGATTAAAAAAATGCAAGAGGCGAAGCAGATTGAATTGAGAATTGAAACAAGTTGGATCTGGAAGTGAAGAACCAAACAATGGCATTGGACATTAATGCAGGTGTTACTGATTTATAATTCAATTCATAATTTACTTAATTACCATCATAATTTTGTTTTTACTTTTTTTTTGTTATTAATATTGCCATAAAAGAAGAGAAATCTGGAGAGAGAAGATGGCAAATAAAAAGGCTGCAAGAGAGCGAGATTAAAAGGAGCTTTGGCCGCAAGATAAGCTTGCGATAATTTTTTTTTTTTTTTTCATTTATTGTGTTCCCGATTGTGGCGAAAAACATCACTCAAATATTGTTAGGTGTAGTTGAGAGTAATTATTCTTTCAAGAGTATTTCATGTATTCACATCAATTCAAATGCGATACTTATATTAATCGATTCTCCATGGTGGTATTTTTGTTTTGTGATTTTTTAGATGATATGACGTTCTATACTTTCTCCTTCGGTAGGAGGGGTTATTATTTTTTTTTCCCCTTTCTTTCCTGACCTCCTTTATCACGAGAGATTATTATATTATTTTGTATATTTTGCAGCTAATCAATGAACGTGCCAATATTTAGAGTCAGAAAATTAAAATGCCACTGAGCAGGTACGAAACTACAAATACTTTTTTTTTAAAAAAAGTAAATGAATAAATCATCTCTTGAATTTTAAGTTCAATAACATCATAGATAGTAAACATAGTTATTATATAAATTATTCTCTCAACTTTTAAAAATAGCATAATTTGACCCATATTGTTAAAAAAAATTAACTTTAACCGTGAGTTGGCTATAAAATGATACAAAAGAACATAAAAAATTACGGAAAAAGAATAAAAAAAATTATAATAAAGGATTCAAAAATTATAAACAACAACCCAAAAAAATATAGTAAAGGACCAAAATATTTTTGTTTATTTTATGTAATTTTTACTGTCTTTTTTTTGTTATTTTCTAGTCAACTTAACTTTTGTTAACTTACATCATTTTCAAAAGTTAAGGGAACAATTTACATAATAAATAAGTTCAAGTTTTATAATGCTATTGAAGCTAAAATTTAGGGGATCATTTATTTATTCATCCTTTTTTAAAATATACAAAAGCAACTAACTAATTAAGCTTAGCTCCTGTTTTCTAATTTTGATATTTTTGCCTTTGTAGTGTTTTTTTTTTACAGTAAAAGTCATTTTTTTCTCTCAACTATAATTAAAAGATTAATATGAAACCTAAACTCAATTTGGGACCATTTATGTCCCTCAACATAAAAAATTTCATTTTTCAGCACTTGGGTGTTAACTTGGCCAGTGTTAATTTAGTATAGGTCCTATATTTGTATTTTTTAATATTTTTTATTACAAAATATTGCTTGTGGGTTTCACATTAATTTTTTTTATATTCCCCTCTCTCTCCCCTCCTTTTATCTATGCAACTCCCATATGCTCTTCTTCACCTTCTTCTCGACTCTCTCTACAACTCTTGATGGCCTTCCTCCCTCCGACTCCAATGCTGATGCTGACACCACCACTATCCAACACATCCCTTCTCTCTATAGGTCCACCAACACTACTTGCTTTGACTCCTTCCTTAAGCACTGTTACCTTCCTACTCTCTGCTTCATCATCAACCCCAACAAATCCTTCTTGCTCCTTCTGCTTCCTTCACTACTTACTTGAATTGTTGGATAAGGAGGCATAGCAAAAGATTAAAATTTTAAAATTTCTATCCTGATATGGATTAAACGAACTCATTTAAGTCAAGGTGGATAGAAGAATTATCTTTTAATTCTTCAAATTTGACGCGTGTTTTCTTCAAGAGTTTGGATATCAGGAGTTGACAATGTAGATTTTCTCCCTCTATTGGTATCCACACAAACAACTCTCTAAATCGAATATCGTGCTTGCGCTCCTAATGTCGTTCTTTTTGAACGTTGGTTTTTTTTCTCTATAGTGTTTCATGGCTCTCAAAGTTTTTGGCTGTTAAAACTTTTCTAATTCTCTTAAACTTAAAGAACATCCCTTTTCTATCTTATTTATAGATTAGGGTTTTGCTTTCTTTTAATAAGCTAATGAAAATATTAGATTAAATTTATTTCATAAATAAAATCTATAATATTATATCTAATTTAAATTTATCTTATAAATTTAAACTATAAAACTGATATGATATTCTTTCATATCATGTTAGTTATTGAATTTAAAACTAACATAAGATAATATAATATAATATATCACATATACATATTATATTATATATATACTAATATATACACACACATATATTTCAAAAAAAATTATATATATATATATATATTTAATTTTATATATCATATACATATACATACATACATACATACATATATATATGTATCACACACACACATGAATATATATTTCATATATATATATATATAATATTATATTTTAAATTTTATATTTCATATAAATATATATATATATATGAATATTTATCAAATATTCATATATATATATATATATAATTTATTTACCTTATATTACATTCATTGAATTTAGACATATTCTAGATTTAATAAACTTGAATATTATAGCTCGAGTTGGGTTGTTCTTATGTGTGATGCTGTAAGCTCATATGAAATTGATAGTAGGCTAATTACGCTATTAGCCCATAAGTCACAAATAGCTTCTAGCAAGACATTACAACTATTCAAGTCATATAGAAATCAATAATTCGATGTAACCTATTATGCACCATATTACATCCCTTTTATCACGCGATATTTCAATCAAGTGTGGGACATAGAATTATCATTTTTCTTTACCTGACCATTACTTTCTTGATCTTTGAATAGATTGACTGTAGCAATGAAAAAATTCTTTTTATTGTAGTATGGCCATATATTTTCTTAATCTTACTTATCGAGAGGCCTAATAATATCTCTCACTTAATGTGAGGGACAAATTTCATCTTGACCACTCATATTTCTTTGCATGAATATCACTAAACTCAATCATAGCCTTTATGATCATTCGGTTAAAGGTAACTTTTGACTAGGTCAAAGTTCGGTGGTCAGCATATAAGAATTCATGATGATCTCTGGCCAAAGGGCTTAATGATATAGTTACATATAAGATAAATTTATAACTTGTACCATGCAACTTTTTCATCGCGGGTTGGTCCAATACTTTGTACTCTTTCAAGTACCTATGACTTTAATTTGTATCTCTATAATTAATCAAAGTTATACTAGTTTTGTTTCATCTATGATTCCTCATAGATTACCGACCAGGGACATTTATAACAACCACTATAGTTTGTATAAGGATACATTTATCATAGTAAACATGCAATTGATATGATAACAAAAGAGAAATTCATTAAATAACAATGTGCATAATGCAATAATTAGTCGTAGGGCACAATTTGTAACATGAATGACAAAGACACGAGTTATATGCATTATATATATATATATATATATAATATCTATGTGTGAGAGAGAAGATGTTAGAGAGGCTAAGTTGGAAGGGAGAGAGAGTGTAGGAAGAGAGGGAGAACATTAAAAAGTTGAGAAGCTTTTGCTCTCTAGCATGAGTGTCGTGAACTTCAAGTCTACTCTCTAAAAATGCCCCCATTATCCAACTTCAAGTATAGCAGCCTAAATGACACCCTTCGTCTCCTCTCACCTCTCTCTCCTCCCCACTTTCTCTCTCTGTCTCCCATATAAACATGATGATGTTGCTATTCCCCCTCTAGTTGCTTCCTCATGTCATAAGCAACCTCCCTATCGGCATAATACTTAATTAGCATCCATGTTCAATAGAATCAAGTCAATTATCTCTGATTCTTCTCAAATCAACTCCATTTATACATTCTCTCTCTCCCCTTATCTTAATGTATGTTTAAATACATTAAGAAAATGACAACACTCTGAGTTTGTGTCTATATGGTTCTTCTTTGCATTATCCATATCATGTTTGGTTCAGTCTCTTAAAGCTTGATCCATTTGGATAGTTGTGTTGCTTTGTGAGGTTAGTAAAAAGAGAGTCAAAATAGGTCTCCTACTGTGATACTTTAGCTTTGAAGTAGACTGTTTATCACCAACACATACACCTCCTAGCCTTCCACTTCTACTAGATTAGTCATCGATATAGACACGCTTCCTTATTTCTTTCTCTCATAAACAACAATGTACGCAATGCTATTGTTAATGGTGTTAATGATGCAAGGACTTTTGAATAAGCATTTCTCACAATTTTAACAGCTTAGGATGAGTCATCTCTAAACGTTGTGTTTAAGGGCCTACACCTCTTGGTATATGAGTATGTGTATATGAGAGAGCAAGGAGAGAGAGAGAGAATTGAGAGAGGTAATGTGTACAAGAGAGGTCAAAAAAAAAATACAAGTAGTAGGACCCATTGCAGTAGAGGAGAGCAAATTAACCTTAAGGGCATTGTGGTTTGAATTTTAAAGATTCGGGGATAAAATTCATCGCAAGTTGAGTTTAGGGTCTATATTGATCTTTTTGCATATGGTTGAGGGGCAAAAATGACCCTTAAATTCCTTTTTTATTCTGCTAATTCCTTCCTATATATTTTTTACTGAACAAGTCCAAACTCGTAATTTTTAAAATTTCATGTTGCTAGTAAAATTGTAAACGTGGAACTCAATCGAACATTTAAGTTAATCAGTATTTTACAATAAAAAAGTAATTTTGTTATTATTATCTTATTTTCTTTATTTCTTACACTTTAGTTACCTTTTGAACTGGTCATTTTCTATTTCTTTCTCAACTATCCACCATTCATCCTCTCTCTCTAACAAATCTCTGAATACACAATAGATACTCAATTTTTTTTATTTCTCTAAAGATAGAATGACATAATATAATTATTTGCAATAAAATTACTTGCCTCCTATCCTAATAAAAAAATTTATTTGTTATTTTCATTCTTCTACTATCTCTCCCATCTCCCATTATATCTCTCTCGCTCCTACCATCTCCCTCTCTTTCCCTCCCCCTCTCAACATTATGACTCTTGTGTTTTTCTCTTGTACAATAGGTATATTTCTTTGAATAACTCTATTATTGTTGTTTTTATTCTTAATTTTTCGGTACCTTATTTGATCGTTAATTATTATTATTATTATTATTTGTTAGACAAATATCATAATTATTTAATGGGCATTATTTTTTTAAATTTAATCATATAGGTAATATTAGAAAAAGAAATTCGAATTCATTTTATAATAAATCTCAAACAATGGTCATGTAAGCTTGTTCCTTTCCATCATAATAAAACTCTTAAATAATGAAAAATTTTATTTCACTTTGCCCTGCTCCACTCCATTTTATTAATGATCTTTCCCTTCTATTGAATTCTAATATCCCAAACCCACTAATCCTTGCAATTTAAGCATTTCCCTCTTCTTATCAAAGTCCCCTTGCAATTCTAGTTCAACAACCATGGTTATTGTGGGCAAACTCAAATCCATCAACTTTTACCTATCAATATTTTCCCTCTATGTTTTTAATATTTTGATTTCCTCTTTACATATTTTTTGTTTTGGATTACAAGGCCACAGTGAAATCGTGTAAAAAAATTAAGATCTATTAATATTTAAAATTATAAAATTATTATAGTCATATAGAAAAACATTAAAAATTATGATATTGAAGGTATCAAAAGTTAACTTGTAAATTAAAAGATCGATATATTTATTTATTTTTTTATAAATATAATTAAAAATGATCATTTTTTTAATTTTTTATGGCACATTTTTGTGTTTGTGCTTCAAATGGTTGCGTGACTGTGAATACATAGAAAATGTACATTTTGGTTCAAGGACCAATGAAAATGGATTAAAAAAAAAAGGTAATTTTAAAATTAAACGTGAGCCTTCCGAGCCTCGACGAAACGTGGCAATTTCAAATGCAGCGGGAAGATGATCTCTCGTGTTGTGCCTCTGGTGTGCATGTCCTTGCTTGCCCTGACTCGAAGCAATTTTCTGTAATCACTAACAGACTTGAATGACGAAATAGCTCTTCAACGGTAGTCGAATCGCAAAAATTCGCTTTGATTTCGTTGTGGCATTGCAAGGAAATCAAGTTTCCGTTTGCAATAGAAAATGACGGGGCCAGACAGAAATTGGGATTTTCACCTCAGAACGTTGTCTAATAGTGCCAGAGACTCCAATACCGCTAATGATCCTGCTTCTGATCCCGCCCTTCTTCAATCCGTGAGTCTTTCTCTCAGACTCTTTATATTCTATTTGCTTCGCTGGAAAAATTGATGTCATCCAAATAGATTTCTTCAAAAATTTATTCCACATCGCGTCATGCTCGAGCTTCCTTCTTGAAAAATCGTTGTCTAATGGTTTGTTTACACTGGAATAATCTGACTCGTGCTTCCTCCCACCTTTTTCTGAGCTACCATACAGCCCAGCTACCATACGGCCCATCTCTCGATTTTTTAGGGTTAGATTTCAAAAGGTTTAACGGGTTGCTTGGTTGGATTTGATTAGGTGAAAAAGCTACATGAAATTTGTGTGGTTGAGAATTCTGAGGACTTGGTAGCCAGAGTTTATCCTCAAATTAACAAGATTTTTCAACGTGCGGCGGCTTCACTCTCCCAATCTCGTACCTCAAATGGCCTTTTGTTACTCGTATGTCTTTTTTTTTTAATTTAAATCTAATATTTCATTGATCTCCAAGGCAATTTTTTCTCTGTGTCATTCAATCTTTTAAATTTGAATATAGTTATTGGATTCAGTGAGCAGATATTCAACAATCTTTCAATTTGGTTGATGCTTGATACTTTAAAGTTTAAACTCCAGCAAATCTGTTTTGTTACCTGTCACTCCCTCCGTTATCAAATATAGGCAGCAAATTAGGAGAATCCTTTCCTATCAAATATAATCAATATTACAAACTTAATATGAAATTTTAATGTAACCTTTACACAAATGGCCCTCAACAAATAACCATTGGACTCTTCGTTTTTCAATGAAGAGTAATAATAGTTGGCCAAACTACATATCTTTATTGGGGGCAAAATAGAAAAGATAGAATACTTTTTTAGACACTAAACTGTTTCTTAATATGCTGCAGACCAGTTTCTGTGTCCCAATTGCTTTCATTAATGTATCTAATCTGTTCTGAGCGTAGTCCAGATTTGCAGGCTTATTTTACATCAATGAAGGTACTTATTACCAAATTATAAATAGATTTTTGGACTTTTGATAGGCTAGGCAAAGCAATTTTTTTGGGAAATAAAAGAAAATGAAAGAAACAAGAGTTAGCTAGTTCACTGCTGTGAGAAATCCCCATCAATTAATTTATCTATTCATCACTTATTGGATTTGTTCAGTTTCTTCTCTGGGCTTTCCTTTGTGGGATAAAGGGTGTTTTGTTGATCTGGCATATGTTTTTGCCACATGTACATCCTTGGTTCATATACTTTTCACATATGTTTTGTCAGGCTCTTCTTCAGTTTTACCTAGATTTTGGAGAGGTTGTTCTTCATGATGCTGATACTAGTCTCAGGATATTTTTCCGTTCATGCTTGAGCAGGTAATTATAAATTTTCTAACAGGCAAAAATAGACTATGGTTCCAGCAGGTAAGGAATTAGAAAAATGAGATGATTGTTGGACTTGTCTTGCCAGATTAGATTTTTATTTAAGTGCATGTTCTTGCAAGCAGCACTTATTCTTTTTTTCCCCTTATTCCTTTTTAGCAAGATATATATCCATATACGATATAAATTTTTAGTACACCACATTATTCATGAGTCATGAAGAGTGTGGCTTATTTCTTAGATTCCATGCAATGCATGAGATCCATACTAAATATTTTCTGTTGTAGGGAATTTGCTGATCCGGTTGTAGCAGAAGCGACACTGGAGTTTCTCATTGTCAACAGAAAGAAGTTGCCATGTTCCTTCCCGAACCTATTGCCTCAGGTATAGCGCAAGTTATTTTGAGCATTCCAGTTTTTATGTTTAAGTATTGCGTGTGATGGATCAAATAAAAAAAAATTTCAACATCTTATTGAATTGTGGTTTCCAAGTGCCATGTGTTTAGATGGTTTAGCAATTTTTTGGCCACTATTTTTAGTACTTGAAATTGAGGAAATTCGTGGTATCCAGGTTAATGTTGATACACAGGTGATGCAATGTCTTAAGCAAATTATCCCTGTAATTCTTGACCATGTTGCTCTTTTTTACCATCCTTGTCCCTGTATGTCTACATATATCTGATGTTAATAGAACTGTTTTCTTGGCAGTTTTTCCCACTGTTGTTAAAGCTGGTCGCTTGGCATGGAGAAAGGTAAGCTGTTCTTTTAGGGGTGTGGCAGGATTACAAATTTAAGCGCTATTACTGCTATTTTGAATTAATAAATTAAAATGATAGATCTTTAAGTGCTCAGACATAGTTCGGCAGCATGTATGTCATAGATTATACGCCTTTTTTTCTTCTTTTTTAATGCAAGGCCACAATAAAACTGTGTAAAGAGACCAAAATCGAGCATTGTCTAGCGTTATAAGGTGTCTACAGTCGGGGGATAGACTGTGAAATATCGTAGCATCAAAATTATCATTTGGAGCCTTGTGGGTTAGAAAGTCAGCACATCTATTTGCTTCTTTGTAAACATGATCAAAAGTGATTGCCCAATCCCTTATGATGAGATATTTGATTTTTCTGAGAGGGTAAAACTATGCTGAGAGAAGGTGACTTTTGAAGAAGTTGCATTTAGTGAGTGATAGAACCTCCATAGAATCTGAGTCAACATTAACTTTAGGAAGCTTAGCATTCCAACAAAGATTAAGCCCTTCCAATATCTCTATTAGCTCAACTGTTGTGTTGGAATGATAACCAAGATTTTTAAAAAAATCCTTTAATCCAATCAGCCTTGTCATTTATGATGATGTCTCCACAAATAGCTATTGCACTAGGGTTGACAGAACTGTCAATGTTAAGTCTAACCAACGAGGATATGATGGATTCCATTTAGCCTCATATCTAGTGTTAATTTTTCTCAGAAGGTTGAGTTTGGATTGCAGCTTCAAATTGTTGATTATTTGTTGAGTGCATCCCTTATTCATTAGCAGCTTTCTTATGTTATTTTAATTCTAAAAAAAGATGGTTAGTAATTAGCTAAAATATACCTTTAGTCTTTTAACTTTATACAAAGTTTTATTTTGGTTTCTTAATTATATAAAATGTCTTTTCAGTCTTTTAACCCTAACATCTTTAGTTTCATCAACAAAAAATTCATATATTGAACTTTTAAATATGGACAAAACATTCTCAAGTGCTAACATATTAAGTTTATTTTTTAAAAATAGCAATAATCGGTGCAAAAAAAAATCATATGAAACTAATGGTTTCAGGGTTAAAGACTGAAAATATACTTTATTAAATTGAGGGACCAAGTTGAAACTTTATATAAAGTTAGAGGACCAAAAGTATACTTTAATGTTCATAATTTGATGGAAATTTTATACAGTTAACCATGATCTTTTCCTAAATAGGATTGCTGCATTTACATTCTCAGTCTGGACGTGTTTACAATGATTGTACTGGTAGTTAAGAAGAGTTAACAGTTAGTTGAGAGGGGCCAGTTAGGAAATTGTGAGCTAATGCATAACTATCTCTTAGTTGTGTAGCTGCTACCAGTCTTCTGCAGCCACCATCTCTTTTGTATTCAGTACTTATTTTTTGGCATAATCTTTCGTAACGGTATGCAATACAGAACACTTCAGTTTATTCTGAAAACCAGATGAAGGAATCTTCCTTGAACAAGGAGCTTGGAAAGAAGCATTACATAAAATATTTAGAAGAAATTGTCTTTTCTTGCACTTGAATTTGATCTTTGGGTGTCAACTGTAGACATCTAGGAATTCATAGAGCTATTTATTGGATGTTATCTGGATGATTGTCTAATCATCTATTTTTGGTTCAATCTTGCAGATTAGGGAAACTGTTTCTGAAAGTTTTACCGGGATTGATATCGTCTGGGTCATTCCTTCCGTTGTTTATATCTCTAGTGGACTTGCCAAGTATGTTCAGATTTCATAGTCATGTAATTTCTGTTTACCTCTTGATTTATGATCACAAAACATTTATAAGTGCTTATCTCCATTCAAATATTCAGGATGAATACTGAAAATAGATGGAAAGGCGCTGGGCAATTGCCTCTCATGTTTCATTTCTATTTTACGACAATGCATCTTATCCTCATTTGGAATTAAGACAGGACTAAAATTGAAGAGAAACAAAATGCTCAAAGAAAAGAACCGAACGGCAACTAGTCAGCGCTCCCCACCCCCCGAATAAAGAAATAAAAGCAAACCATGGCAGTTCTATTTGATTATTAATAAAAGTCATTTGGGGATAACCCATAGCTACAACATGCAATAAGCTTGACAATTGTGGGGTATCTGATGATGTGCTGCTTCTTATTTCATTTAGCAATGGGGTTTGTTGTTTTGACATTTCTACCATCTTTGCTAGTTTTGGTTGTGGCATTGGAAAGGGTAGAAAAAAGCTCTGGACCACTAATTGGAAATGGCATAGCTTCAATTCAACAAAATACAGCCCCTAAGGTTATCTTTCACACTATAAGTTGGAGAAAATTTAGTCACAATTGTACAAGTCTATACGTTATGAGAAAATTTGGTTATTTACAATGCAGATGCTACTTGCCCTTATGGATGAAGCCTATACTGGTTCAACAATAGAAGATGGTGCAGGAGATTCTGAATCTGAGGATAACAATGCTATTGATGTAGACAGCCCTTTGTTCCTTGAGCTTTTAAAGGATGAAAATGATGGACTCGCTGTATGGTCACCTTTCATTTTACTGGTTGCCATTGTTTAGTCCAATCTGTTTTGGTTCTTGTTATCTGGATGGTTTAGTTCAAGTTGTTTCGCCATTTCTTCTCAGATATTATGCGTGTTAAGCCTTTTTTATCACTTAAACTGATTATCAATAGAAGTTTGTTGCTACTCATAAAATGCTTTCTGTACTTGACAATCCTAAAATCTATGTTTGGCATTGCCTTATGTGAAGTAATGCATAAAGCTTCCCATTCTAATCATTATTTTGAATTGATTCTCTTTTTATGTTTAATGTTGTTTTTACACCTTTTTTATTTTCAATCCACACTGTAATACCGTTAGTCCTAGTTATAATCAAATAATGGTCAACATGGCCATTGAAGTGGTGAGCTCAAATTTAATTTTGGATCAATTGAATTCTTGATTTTACTGCAGTGACTTTTTTTTTCAACATAAGGTCTGGTTCACCAATGGTTAAATATAAAGATTATTGTCCTCATTTGATATTATAATATTATTAATGATGTAGTTAAGTCTTAAAAAAAGAAACCCCCACTGATGAGGATTTTTCTCATAGCTGACTATCTATAGGTTTTTTGTCACGAAGTATGCCAATTGAGTCTGATGTTTTTACATTTTGGGATCCTTGTTGTAATTATAACTGATGAGGAGTATAACATTGGTGGCAGCATGATGATTTATTAAACTTTCAAGCTTTTCATGTGGATTACCCCCTGACTTTTCACATTAAAATTTTGTTACACTAATCAAATCTGTTTATCATTATAACTCTATTGTGAGTTCTAGGATTGTTCATTGGAATTAAATTCTTCCTAGGCCTTGAGGTAAGTTATATTATATGCCAGGAACGCCACTGGACGTCTCCAGGGATGGCTGCATTATTACAGGCTGCAGTAAATAGTCCTTATTCTGATAGGCTGAAACAAGCACTCATTCTAGCACCTCCCTTTCTTGATGTGTACTTCTCCATAGCATTGCGTGAAGTCAATGAGTGTGAGTTCTTGCACAAGAATCTTTGTGTGACATTTGCATTATTTTCATTATATATAGTGAGAGTTCATTGTTCATAGTATCTGTCCATTTATGTAAGATATACTCACGAGCTGGCTGTGTTAAAAGTTCTTTAAATTCATTTTCAGCTTTGATGTGCGCATTAATTCCTCTGCTTATGTCAAGATACTCTACAATATTTCCTGACAAAAACTTTTCTCATGAGGTATGTATGCAGCAGAAATTATTGAAATTATCTTCTCTTAGCATGACTTGTTCAAATAACTTTTGAGAACTGGCATTTGAAAATGGACGTTGCTATCCTTTGGCATTGATCATTGACAACTTCCATTTTAAAACAGCATCCGTTTAAGTAGTTTAGTCTGTGGAGATAATTTCACTTGAATTCTTGGCCTTCCATGTCTGAGTTTTTTCCTTAAAAGTTTCCTACATTCAGCAAGTTCATTAATATTGGCTGCACCTAGATTTTATATATCATACTTGGTGAGAAAATTTTGCTAAAACTAGAAATAAGAGGAAATAATTGATACATGTAATGGTCTCCATACTGCCAAGAAATTGCTGGTATTGATCAGGTAGCATCAGAGATTATCTTCTCCCCTCGAAGACCATTGTTCCATTGCATCATATTTTTAGATCTTTTTTAACATGATTTAAACAGTGGATCCTACGTGAAGTCTAATCCCATTATTGTTAGCAACCAGAATAGAATTTGGTAGTCAATGATCAATACCCATTAACCTTTCCAAATTTATTTAGTTATTCAATAAGAGTTGTTTTTTATTGTATCTATAAACATTCAAAGCCACAGTTTAATACTTTCCCTTTTCTAATGATTATGCAATTATGAATAACAGTAGTATGTCCAGCCAAGAGAACCGAGCAGCAGATATAATTATAAGTTCCTCATTTTGATTTTTGTTTCCGAAATATTCTGTGACTACTATTATTGTTAAAATTTATCACTTATTGTCAATGTTTCCAAGTGCTTTTAGGTTCACAAGAGGATATTGGAATTCATGCTCTCTGCTTTTCAGCATTCCCCAAATTTTATAGCTCTTTTGAAGGTATTGTTTTGACGATATATTGCTTTTATTTAAGATTTTAAAACATAATTAATGTTGAGTTGAGTGCTATATACTTTTACACATTATTAAGATAAGATGAAAAATAAATTCTAGTATGAATTGGAAGCTCACGTGAAGATATAATTTTGGTTAGAGGTTTATAGAGTCAATAATTTCTCACGATTATTTTCAGAAAGCGATGGCTTATAGCTCATATGAATTATTTGTAGAAACCTATAATGGACAGACTGGGAGAAGCCTATGACAGCCAGAGAAGGTTAGCAACCATTTCACTGATTTTGAGGTAGGGAGTGAGTGATACTATAAATTTTGAAAATAAATTGATTGTTGTCTAGACAGAATTAGCATTGCAATTATGTTGGGCCATTGGAGAGCACGGTGGAGGTGGTGGATCTCACAAAGATGAAGCGCGGGAGCTTTTTGAGAGTTTAGAACTACTTCTATATGAAAACCTTTCGACTAGGTATGACATACAAAACCCATTGCCTCCTGTAGTTTAGAGATGTTGACGTTGAGTCATTGTTTGATGACTTCATCTACTTTTGTTTACCTGAAAGTCGTTTGGGTCTGAGGCAAGATGTATCCCGCAGCTCTAATCAGGAGACCTACAGTAAGTCATCACAGTCCAGGCTTCTATGTTTCGTTGTAACAGCTATTGCAAAACTTGCTACACACCACCGAGAATTACTGCCAAGGGCACGTGTATCACTGGGCAAGGTATTTTTTTGCTGGGTTCTGCAAGCAAGGCACGTGGCTGTTGATTTGATTATTTCTCTATTTAATAAGGATTTGCATTTCAGGTGGCTCGATCTCAAATTTCAGACGCAAGAGTGTGGAGGCGTGCCCGTGATTTCCTTGGTCTATTGAATGAGCCTGCCATTTGTTCATCCATACTGGGTCCTTCACGACCGTCACAAGGTACCATGCAAAAAGCGGGCAGTATAAACTGGAATGAAGGTGCAACAAAGATGATTGCTCATATTCCCTTTTACCTCCTTGGGGAACTGGAAGGTTAAATATCTTTTACTCTTTTTATCTTGTCTCTATTTATCAATACTGGTGGGTTGTTCAGTCTGTCTATATATGCACGCTTGAAAATTTTTGAGTTTATATTAAGTAGTAAAGTTTTGCTATTACTTTCTCTCGCTAGTACACGCGTGCACATGAGCATTACTGCTTGTGATTTTTGCTTGTCCACGTATTCTGGGACTTGAAAGTTTAGATCAAATCTGAGCTGCTAGAGGAAATCTGCTATTATTTACATTTTGGTTCTCTTGTTACAGGGGCACCTTTTCATGATTTCTCATTCTCGGATATCATTCCTAGAAGATGACGAAAGCCAATTTGATAATTAATTGTTTCTTGATTATGTTCTTTCTCATGTTGGGCAGTTAGTGAATACGTCATCACAGATGCTTTCTATCCGATGGTTCAAGGCTAAATACTTTTTATTATTCCTATTGTAACATTTGCCTTGTGATTTGTCATATAACAGTGTTTTTTTTTTTTGGGATTAAATTCCTTTACCGCGACATATTTCCCCGCGCCCCTCCACACAGTAAAAACAGGAGCAATCCAGTAAAGTTGAATTACACCATTCCCAAATCCCACCTAAATTAATTCAGGTGAGGTATAATTCAAAGAATCTAGATTGGAACCAGCTGGGATAGATTTGGCAGGTATGTCTCATCTGTCTAGTCCTCCTAGAAGAGATCACCCATAGTGCAAAGGAGCAATCTTGGCTGGGTTATGTACGACCAGTATTAATGATTCAGTTAATGACCTTAGCATTTACAAGCCCGGGATATGGGGTACATTTTTTTTTTAACAACAATTTAGGTGGGTAGTGTTCTAAGAATTTGTCAAAGTCAGGGTATGCTTCCATCAAATCCTTAACAACTGGAATTTAATCTTTATTGATTGAGACATGGGATAATTCTTTCATTATATGAGCAAAATTGCATGGGACTATACTACTAACAATGACAAACTAGATATTATTAATTAAAGACAATACAACACACCAAAGTTATCAGTACCGATACTTCGGATTGCAACTGTGATTTGAAGACATAAATTGAAACTACACATCTTTCACCATGCCCCACATTAACTAGAACATGTGCCTCTGGGAAAACCAAAGGAGTAGTCTTACAATAATCTAACCATGAAATGGGGCAGAAGGATGTCTAGTACAGTTAACAGGATACTAGATTGAGCATTTAGTCGTCATCAGAGTCCTCATTGAACACAAAACTCTTGATAGCCTTGAAAGTCTCTCTGAGAATCTTCTTAATGACAGCTAATGATTGAGGAGGCACATGGGACTTATTAGAGCCATAGTCAACGATGTTAAATGAAGCGGTGAGAATGCTTGCGACGCCACTGTGGGGTCCGTCGTCCTTAGGGATCTCTTGCGGCAGAATAGAAAAACCGGAAGGTAAAATGCCAACCATGTCTGGGTCTCCTCCTTCCAATAGGGCTGTCACTGCTGGTTCGTCTATTGGCGCATAAACCACATACGAACCAGTTATGTCTGTGTAGCTCTCTTGAATGTAGTTGATCACATAAGTGTCTAGCTCATCCTGCGAATTCCAAATAAATTAACTTCATTTCAAAATTGTTGGAGAAGGAAGCAATAAGTTGAGTAGGAGAGGTGCTCAGACACACACAGAGAAAGAGATCTACTTGAGGGAAAATGGCATTTGAAGATGGACACACAGAGATCTATTTTTTTTAAAAAAAAATTATTTGATTTTTTTTCAGTATTTAATTTTAATTTGTTATCCACATCATTTCAACATTTTCAATACTTTTTTTTTTTTTCAATACAGATCTTTAGTACTCCATTTAGTTTTTATATACAAGGCATTTTTAGCTCGGAGAAGTGGTTAATTCATTAACTTTGTTTGAAAAAAAAATTTCAATTTTATCCATATTTACATTAAGAGAAATGGAGATTAAAACTGTATTATTCACGTATCTTGATTAAGTTTTCATCCCAGTTATTGCATATCTTCTATACTCAACAAAGCAGGCAGACCCATCATGTCTAATTTAAATGATGTCTAATTTCAATAGGAGAACTACAAATGCAAGAAAATGAGAATGAATAAAAAAAGAAAAAGAAAAACTTACTGTGACTTGCATGAGAGAAACACGATTAGCGGAATCTTTGCCCTTAACAATGTACGACAGTTCTTGAACACAAAGTCCTCGAGCAAGCACATCCCACTGCAATTAATCCATCAACCAAATTAAACCACCAAACGTAAGACTCAACCTATGACAATTAGGGTTCAAAAGTTCCACTTCCCTTGACTTGTACTTGTTGAAATAGCCATAAAGAATAATAGTTGGGGTTTTAGGAATGCCATATATATATATATGACGAAGAAATATAAACGTACGTCGGTTCTGGATTCGGCATCACGAAGGAAGTCGAACAAAAGGCGGGGAGTGATCGGAAACCACTGCGAAGCTGCAAAGACGAGTGTTGTAGCCAAAGGTTTTCCAGCTTCAATTGCGTGCTCTCTAATGGCCAATCTCACGTCTTCTGTATCATCAAATGGTTCTCCTGGTAATCGGAACCACTGGTTTCGTTTCGAACCATTTATCTCACTACAGAACGTCCTTATCATCCTATCTCCCAGCTTCAACATGCTCCTTCTTCCTCCTTCTCCGATCACCTTCACTGTTCAATGAACATATACATGTAATTATCGATCACGTATGCACGCATGCATGAGTTTCTTTTTAAAGTAATCTGAGATTCATTACCTGCATCTTCTGGAGGCCAGTATTTTGCCTTGAGAATTTCAGAGTATTCGAATTGGCGAACCATAGCAGAAATCCAACGTGTTGCGCCAAAAGCAAAACTTGATTTGATTAGGTCCTTGAATGTGGAGTTTAGATCTCTGTAGTCTGCTTCCACATGCTCTACCCACGTGATCTGCAAGAAAGAAATCAGAAGAAGCACGAAACCCTAATTAAGAATGAATGAAAGTGTGTTATTATATAAATATACCTTAGAGAATCCTTCTTGGGGCATAAATTGAATGAAGCATCCTGAGGGCCTTCTTCGAAAATTGATGGAGGGATGAGGAAAATACTTCTCCAACGACACGTCTACGATGGCCCACGTCGTCTCAGATAACTTCTTACAGTATCTTGCAAAATAACACTCTCGACCTGGCACCAGCGCTGCGGGCATGTGGATTTCTCCACTCATCTACCAGAAAAAAGAATATAAGTGAATATTTCAGGTTTTGTTGTGCTCTTTATTAGGTAACAAGGCATAACTTTCTATTGAGGGAAGATGCTTGGTTCAATTAAGAAAGTTGAATCAATTAATTATTATTGGGTTTTAAGTTTTTGAATATGAAATAGTCACATTAAATAAATATATTAAAAATAGTGAAACAGCTATTGGTAATAATAGTTCCATAGATTGAATAGGTTCACAAGAAGAATAGATAAAACGGAACCATTGTAATTAGTTTGTAGACACACACTATCAATGTGACTTAGAGAAACTTAACCTAATAATAATAAATATAATTATTAGAGTGTTGTTAGATCTTCATTGATGATCAAAGGTACATAATAATTAGGAGAACAACTCTAATTTTTTGTTCTTTTATGATTAACACATACATAGACATCATTATTACTTAATTGATGAATAACATTACATCTCTCTCACTTTCCTCCTCCTTGTTTTTTATCACCACATTGAAAAGTTGTTTTTAGTGGAGATGTATTTTTTTTTTAATTTTCAAAATTTTACCTTTAACCTAATCCTTCTTCATAGGAAAGAGAGATACACACACCCACACACAAACACAAATATGTCAACGCTAAATTTGAACCCAAGACCTCTTCCAAGCAAGAGAGGTAGTGTTACCGTTAGAACAACTGACCGTTGACAATGAAGACATATTGATAATGTTAGGGATGCAGTGATTGGCAATTTGACCATAAATCATAGGCATTATATGGGTCGAAAGTGTAAGTCTATTTTCAACATTGTTGACTGCATCAATATTTATAACATAAGTATATCAATACAAAAAATAAGGAAAGAATGGAACATATAGTGTTGGAAGAATAGAAATAGTAGGTCCTATAGTTTATTCACAAAAGAGTGATGAGTGTTGTCTATTGGGATAAATGGAAATGAGGAGTTCGGTTAATAATCTTATAGCATAGTGACATGCAAGCTCTTCTATAAGTGAGAGGTTACAAGTTCATTCTCACTTATAACCTTATGTTATTAGTGTTTGCACTTTTTTTTAATATATATATATATAAAGAAATCAGGGGTAGGGTAGCTCTAAGCCCATCTATATCCGTGACTTCCTTAGAATATATAGTATTGCTCCGCATACTATCAATTTTTGTACCATTCTCTCTTTTGAATATATTACACATTAATTATTACTTGAGGTTAGGCAAAAGCTTAAGGAACTTATTTGGATTAATTTGATGTTTAATTAAGCCAGAATAAATATTGCTCAAAAACAAGAATTGAAGTGTTGTGGGCTCGAGTGAAAAGGAGGCAAATTATGCTTCACAAGCTGTTCTAATTTCGTTTTAAAAGATGAAAATAATCGTCGGAAGCTTGAAAAGAATTTGAATTGACATTGAATGATTAAACAAGAATTTCAACATATATATGTCTATATAGGAGCTAGAATTTGTCAATCATGAGCCCATTGAAAAATGATAATTACACATACGGGCATTTAATACAGGAAAAAAATACAAAACATTAACTTACCACTTGCAGTCTTCCATCTAAACTTCCTTCAGCTCCATCCTTCAAAATTCCCAGAACCATTGCTCTTGAGACTATGTTGTAAAAAACATCCGACCATTTCTTCTGAAAAATTACACACAAAATATAAGACGGAAAAACTCAAAAATAAGAACACACACAGACACACATGGTCATAACTTATACATACGTGATTTAACTACACACATATTATTGAATGAATAAGCAAATGAGTATATGTATAAGTGTATGAAAAAAAACGGGTAAATATTTACTCCTTCTGATTTGTTAAAATTAAGGTGCCCTCCGAAATTTAATTAATGTATTTTGTTGAACCCTTTTGAGATTTTAGTCCGCTAAAATATTTAGCATATGAATATTAAATGACTAGTAATTTCATATGAATAAATATACCTCACAGAAGTTGCTGAAATATAGCCAATATTATCTTCTTAATCTCAACAGTAATCTCAATACACACGCGCACACATCAAATGTATGAGTAAAACAGCCATTTTTTAACAACAACAACAACTATGCATCATGTTATCGTTTTCGTTAAGATCTTCGAATAGAAAATATATACGACTAAAATTCAAACCTCATGTTTGAAAGAACTAAAATTTAAACTCCATCCAAAAATAAAAAATAAATTGACCTACCACATCCATAAACCATTCAGCAATGTCGATTGGGTTCATTCTAACATAAGCAAAATCTCGAGAAGCTTCGACTTGATAAGCTTCTGCTGGAGTACTCTTGAGATTCAATTCTCTTTCAATATCGGAGCAAGAGCAAGAGTGAAACAAGGGTGAATATTCATCAGGCTCACCAATCTCATCAGGCTTCTTAATAATGTCATTAAGAATTCCTTCAACATTTCCAAAGTGTGTAACGTATTCAACACCTTTTAGGGTTTCATATCTCTCTTTTCCCTCCATGGGCTGCCAAAACATTCCTCCTGAAACAGCCAGCTTCGTTAACTCATCCATGGCTGAACCAGAAAGCTCCATGATTTTTGTTTTCATTGGCTCTGCAATGAAAGAGACTACAAGAAGAAGATCACTTGCTCGCTGATCTCGACTGTTGATCATTCTGGATTTAGTAATTGGCTTTGAGGTTGAACCAGATGATCTACTTCCTTTCCCATTTGAAGTACCAGACTGAACACACAAGGTAAAAAGTAAATTAACCCAATTTTCCAATGAATTAAGATATACCATGGGAGATATGATATATCTCCTTCAAAAGATATGTAAACATGTCATATGCGAATTTGAGGCAAAAAGAGGAACTGATATGCATATGTATGTGTTCTTGCGCGCGAGTATCAGTATTTGTTTCAAAAGATGGTAATGGAAAAAAAAATATATATATATATATATATATGTTGCCAATGGCATGTGCAAGCATAACCATGTTTACCAAACACATATCATTCATGGGGGCAACCATTTCAAATCGTATAAAAATGGACGGTTATAATCAGTATTACCATTTTTTACCAAAAAAAAAAAAGTAAACTGAATACAAAGAAAATAGAGATTATAGAGGCTGGGGCAAGCCCCCCGCCCTTAGATCTGTTTCTATACACAATACTTTTATGTTTTATGCTTAGGCAAGGAATTAGGCTTGTATGTATGTATGTATGTATGTATGTATGTATGTATGTGGGATGGATTATTTGTTGGAAGTAGAGTGTAAAGAATATGTAAGAAGTCACCCGTTGATAGGTTCGGGTTGAGAATAGGCGTATAAGTGAAAAAGCATTCATGAATTCATTGTCTGTTTATTAAGATTTTGAATTAGTATTTTTGTTTGTTGGATCGTAAGAGGTTGAAATTTGGCATAGGCAATTAGACAGCCCTAATTTTTTATTTTTAGGGTTTCTTTAGCAAACAATCCCAAGTCTTCCAAAGTAGCTAAGAGAGAAAATGGGTCGAAACAAGGGGAATTTATCAATATTCCATTTGTTAATTTCTGAATGTCTGGATAAAATCAAGTTAATTACCTTGTTTAAATCTAATTTATTCAAGTGGCCTCCTGACGCTGTCTTGTTCTGATCCATCTCAGCAATTTCTCGTTTTAAAAAGCTGATCACATATAAACCAAAACGCCGTGAACTTTTCTTATACGCGCCAAGAAAATATCATTTACTTATATAAAACCAAAAATCAAAAACACTTCGATCAAATTAAATGTTAAACTTGAAACCTAAAAGGGAATATAATATTATAGTTAATTAATAGCTGAATTCTATTATCCTCAAACCCTACTCCATCAGTGACTCATCTTGACTCTCAATCAATGCCGGCATTTTATCGTCATCGTCATCTTCAAACTGATCATTTGTGTTCTGATCACCACTACTACCTTCCATACCTTTCGAGCTGATCTGCTAGCTATATGCAAATTAAACATGCGAAACTGGTTAAAGAAAACTGAGTCTTGAAAATCTAAAGCGGAAACCAAAACGTAAAATGGCGAGCGATGTGGAACCTGAAAAACTTTGAATAACTCAATGTGTAGCTATAAATCACCCGAGAAATTTCTGAGACATTGAAAGATGAAAAGCATGAGAATTTCTAGTTTCTGAAGAAATTAAACAAAACAAGTTCAGAAGCGATACTGGCTGGAGAGAATTTGATGATATGCGAAATTCTGAAAGGAAAACGACGTTTATATAGAAACGAATTCATCACATACAGATAAGATGAATAAAATAAATGCAAGTGATGAGAACAATTCATCAGAAGCTTGCAATAATTCTCTCTCACACAGAGTAATATACAAGAATCTGAGATTGTAAATGTGAGTGAATGCGTGCTGAGAAAGTCGTCAGATTCAGTAAATACTATTGATGGTTCAGTGTATTTCTTGACAGTTCAATTGCGGCTGGAGCCTTACGTGGCAATCCAGAAGCGAATTTCAGGACAAAATAAAAAAATAAGAAAAATGAATTCGTTTCTTTTTCCCTTTGTATTACTTGTTCAGATTTTTTTCCCTCTTCTTGACTCTGGACCAAAACTTACTTGTAGCTAGGGATTCAAATTCGGAATATTTTGTCATTTTATTTATATTTTGAAATGGGTTGAAACAGCGTTTCATTCTTGGGGGAAATAAACAAACTTTCCCATCATCCGCGGGCTTCGTCGGGTGTGATTCCGTTACGCCGTTTCGTAACTTCCCGTGTCCCACAGTTTTTTCAAATACATATGCTTTTATATGTAAGGAACGCTTTGAATCCAATCGAGTAGCTAAATCTACTTGTTAAATGACCGTCTCAATTATAGCCATTAAATTTAATTATTATTTAAAATTTATTAAGATATACTCCCTCCGATCTTCTTTGTTGGTCACCTTCTAAGATGATGAGCGGTCCACTTTATAAATTATTAAATTAATAGCGATATTTTATTTTAAATAAAATGTCTAAATTATCCTTAAAAAAT